GGCAGGTGCTAGGAAGGTATTTCTGAGAGCCCTGAGCAGCTGCCTCACAGCTGGGCAGGGGAGCATGCTTTTACACTGTTGGTAGGAGTGTAAATTGGTTCAACCATTATTGGAGACAATGTAGCGATTCCTCAAGGATCTAGAGACAGAAATACCATTTGACCTAGCAATCCCATTACTGGGCGTATACCCAAAAGAATATAAATAATTCTGTTATAAAGATACATGCATGCATATGTTCACTGCACACTATTCACAATAGCAAAGACATGGAATCAACACAAATGCCCATCAATGATAGACAGGATAAAGAAAGTGTGCTACATATATACCATGGAATACCATGTAGCCATAAAAAGGAATGAGATCATGTCCTTGCATGGATGGAGTTGGAAGCCATCACCCTCAGCAAACTCACACAGAAACAGAAAACCAAACACCACATGCTCTCACTTATAAGTGGGAGCTGAATGATGAGAACGCATAGACACATGGCAGGGGTGGGGGGCAGTGCGGACAATACACACTGGGGCCTCTTGGGGGGTGAGGAGGGAGAGCATCAGGAAGAATAGCTAATGGATGCTGGGCTTCATACCTAGGTGATGGGATGATTTTGGCAGCAAACCACCGTGGCATACATTTACCTATGCAACAAACCTGCACATCCTGAACTTAAAATAAAAGTTGGTTGAAGACAGGCCGGGTGCAGTGGCTCATGCCTATAATCCCAGCACTTTGGGAGAGCAAGGAGAGCGGACCACCTGAGGTCAGGAGTTCGAGACCAGCCTGGCCAACATGGTGAAACCCCGTCTCTACTAAAAATACAAAAATTAGCCAGGTGTGGTGGCAGACACCTATAATCCCAGCTACTTGGGAGGCTGAGGCAGGAGAGTCACTTGAACCCGGGGAGGTGTAGGTTGTACTCCAGCCTGGGTGACAGAGTGAGACTCCGTCTCAAAAAAAAAAATAAAATAAAAATAAATAAAAAAAACAAGGTGAAATTTACATAACATATAATTAACCACTTTAAAATGTACCATTCAGTGGCTTTTAATACATTCTCGCTGTGCATGCATCACTACTCTGCAGTCCCAGAACACCTTCATCACCCCAAATGGAAGCTCTGCACCTGTTACCTAGTCAGTCCTCATCCCTCTCCTGCCAGCCCCTGGCAATGAGTCATCTTTATGCCTCTTTGGATTTGCCTATTCTGGACATTGCATATCAATGAAATCATAACAATGTGTGATTTTTGTGTCCACCTTCTTTCAATTAGCATGTTTACAAAGTTTATCCCTATTACATCATGTATTGGAACTTCCTTCCTTTCACGGCTGAATAATACTTGGTTGCCTGGCTATGCCACAATTGTTTATTCATTTCTGGATGGCCATTTGGGTTGTTTCCACCGTTTGGCTATTGCAAATAATGCTACCAGGAACATTTGTGTACAGATATATGTCTGGGCCTCTGTTTTCCATTCTGTTTGCTATATACCTAGGAGTGGAATTACTGGGTCATGTTGTAACTGTTTCACTTTTTGAGGAACTGTCAAATTGTTCTGATGAATTATTTTTATTTTTATTGTATTATATTTTATTGTTTTGAGACAACGTCTTGCTCTGTCACTCAGGCTGGAGTGCAGTGGCATGCTTATGGCTCACTGCAGCCTCAAACTCCCAGGCTCAAGCAATACTCCCACTTCAGCCTCCCTAGTAGCTGGAACTATAGGTGTGTACCACCACACCCAGCTTATTTTTGTATTTTTTTTTTTTTTTTTTTTGTAGAGACAAGATTTCACCATGTTGACCAGGCTGAATTTTTTTGTAATGGAGTTACAACCTTTACATCAAGTACATCAAGTACATACATTGTTAGATAAACAGCTTGATGAATTTTTCCATATATATGGAATAAGAGATAGAACATTTCCATGACCCTGGAGTACTTTCTTGAGCCCCTTTCCAGGCAGCACTTCTCCCATCCCAACAGAAAGGTAACCACTGTACTGAATTCTCTCACTGTCAATTAGCTTTGGAACTTTACGTAAATAGAATCATATAGTGAGTTCTGTTTTTTGTCTGGGTTCTTTGTCTCAACACAACATCTATGAGATTCATTGATGTTGTTATTTTTTATTGCTGAGCAGTATTTTACTGATGAATATACCATACTTTTTTTTTTTTTTTTTTGAGACGGAGTCTCGCTCTGTCACCCAGGCTGGCGAGCAATGGTGCGATCTTGGCTCACTGCAACCTCCACCTCCTGGGTTCAAGCGATTCTCCTGCCTCAGCCTCCTGAGTAGCTTGGATTACAGGCACACACCAGCACGCCTGGCTAATTTTTTTTGTATTTTTAGTACAGATGGGGTTTCACCATGTTGGTCAGGCTGGTCTTGAACTCCTGACCTTGTGATCCGCCTGCCTCGGCCTCCCAAAGTGCTGGGATTGCAGGTGTGAGCCACAATGCCCAGACGACCATAACTTATTTATCCATTCTATTTTTGATGTATATATTTGAGTTGTTTCCAGTTCTTCGTTCTAAGGAACCAAGCTGCTTTGAGCAGCCTGTGCTTCTCTTTGTGCAGATGTGCATGCACTTGTCTTGCTCGTGCCTTCAAGGAGAGCATGCATTTAGATGAGTAGATGCAGCCCAGCAGTTTCCCAAGGGGTGGAGCCCATGGAGCGTCCACCCTGAAAGGCAGGAGGGTTCCAGTTGTGCCACCTTCTCATCAATACTTGGTATTTTAACCTTTTTTTTTTTTGCTAGCCTAAAAGAATTTCAATAAAATTTCAATAAAATTCAACTAACAGAATTTCAATAAAAATTATTTGGTACTTTGAGTGGGTAAATCATTCAGACAGCTTCTAGTTCGAAAAGTATGTAAAAGTTAACACTAAGAGGCCTCCCTCCCGCCCTGCCCCCATCCATCCACCCCAGTTCCCATCCCAATAGGAAAGCCCTATTAATAGTTCATTATTTATCCTCCCAGATATTTTTTATAGATAAAAGGCAATGCAAATATACATATATATATATATAGAGAGAGAGAGTCCCCATTTTACACAAAAGGCAGAATATTATGCACACTTTTCTGCATCTTGCTTTTTCCATTGAGCCATCTTTCAAAGCTCCTTTCGCTTCAGCACATGAAATTCACGAGTAGATGTGCCGTGATGAGGCCCCCTTGCTGGAAATATTTAGGTGGTGGTTGATCATTTGTTTCTACAGAGAGAATTGCAATAATTAACCTTGTCCAAAAATGATCTTAGTCCTGCTCAAGAGCAGAACTGGCCAGGCACGGTGGCTCGTGCCTGTAATCCCAGCACGTTGGGAGGCCAAAGCTGGTGGATCGTTTGAGCCTAGCAGTTCGAGACCAGTCTGAGCAACATAATGAGACCTGTCTCTACAAAAACGAAAAAACTTAGCTGGCTATGGTGGCACATGCTTGTGGTCCCAGCTACTTGGGTACAGGAGGTAGAAAAATCACTTGAGCCTGGGAGGTCAAGGCTGCAGTGAGCCATGATCATGCCACTGCACTCCAGTCTGGGTGACAGAGTGAAAACCTGCCTTTAAAAAATTATCATTCGGCCGGGTGTGGTGGCTCAAGCCTGTAATCCCAGCACTTTGGGAGGCCGAGACGGGCGGATCACGAGGTCAGGAGATCGAGGCCATCCTGGCGAACACGGTGAAACCCCGTCTCTACTAAAAATACAAAAAACTAGCCGGGCGAGGTGGCGGGCGCCTGTAGTCCCAGCTACTCGGGAGGCTGAGGCAGGAGAATGGCGTAAACCCGGGAGGCGGAGCTTGCAGTGAGCTGAGATCCGGCCACTGCACTCCAGCCCGGGCGACAGAGCCAGACTCCGTCTCAAAAAAAAAAAAAAAAAAAATTATCATTCATATTTACTTATTCATTCTTTCATTCATTCAGAAATACCAGAAATATCACTTGGGGTCCTTGTTAGGTGTCAGGCACTGTTTCAGGTACTAGGAGGAGCCGGTCACAGTGGCTCATGCCTGTAATCCCAGCACTTTGGGAGGCCGAGGTGGGCAGGTCACCTTAGGTCAGGAGTTTGAGACCAGCCTGGCCAACATGGTGAAACCTCATCTCTATCAAAAATACAAAATTAGCCAGGCATAGTGGCGTGTGCCTGTTATCCCAGCTACTTGGGAGGCTGAGGCAGGAGAATCACTTGGACCTAGGAGGCGGAGGCTGCAGTGAGCCGAGATTGGACCATTGCACTCCAAACTGGGCAAAAAGACTGAAACTCCGTCTCAAAAAAAAAAAAAAAAAGTACTAGGAGGCATCTCAGGACCTAGAACATGTGGACAGTATGCTGTGCATAAAAGATGCTCAACCTGATATTCGTTAGGCAATGAAATGAGTCTCTAAAGAGCTTTCCAGCAACACCATTCTTGTTTGCTGTTGGTTGATTTATTGTTTGTGACGTTTTCAACACAAAATCAATTGAAATTCCAGCTTTTACAGTTTGTGAAAATTGTAATCTGTACAAAACAATGCACAAATTCGTTAAGATTTGCAAAATCTACAATTTATTATTTGTGTGACTTGGAAAAAAAATACTTAAATTTCTGAGCTTTGGGCTCTGGACTGTATGAAGGGGGATAATAACATAACCCACAGGCTTGTTCAGGAGGTGAAAGAAAGTGAGCCTTAGAAAGTGTGGCCGGGAGCAGTGGCTCACGCCTGTAATCCCAGCACTTTGGGAGGCCGAGGCAGGTGGATTACTTGAGGACGGGAGTTTGAGACCAGCCTGGCCAACCTGGTGAACCCTGTCTCTACAGAAACTAGAAAAGAATTAGCCGGGTGTGGTGGGGCATGCCTGTAATCCCAGGTACTCATGAAGCTGAGGCAGAAAAATTGCTTGAACTCGGGAAGTGGAGGCTGCAGTGAGCTACAATCGCGCCACTGCTCTCCAGCCTGGGTGACAGAGCCAGACTCTGTCTCAAATAAAATAAAATAAAATAAAAAAATAAAATAGTGCTTAATGTGCAGTGCCTGCCTGCAGAAAGCCCTCAGCAATGCTAGCACTGATTATGCTTAGGACCTGGACAGCTCTGTGACATCTCATGAAGCTAGAATGGCTGAGGAAGAAGCTGTGTGCAAGGAAGACGGGAGGAAAGGAGGACTGTGCCACCTCAGCCTTCCTTCCCCCAATCTCAGCCTTCCATCCCCCGATCTGCGCTTTCCTCTTCCATTTTGAAGTGGCCACATCCCAAGGAGGCAGAATCTCATCTGTCACCCCTTAGATCAAAGTCTCCCTGGTCTGAGCAGCTGGCAGGTCTCTCTAGGTGTCCTGAGGGGGCTGATGGAGCATGGCAGGCCCCACTCCTTGTCTGCCTGCACCTCTGATTAGCAACACATCCCCTAGCGCAGCCCTCGGGTCACCTACCTGAAGTCACACTCGAGGCCCTGAGATTCCTTTTGCAAAGTATGTGACAGCCCTTTCCAGGTCACTGCAGTGGAATTTGACCTCTGGAGCTGGGCTCTCCTGCTTTCCAGAGTCATAGTATTCCACGGTTTGTTCCCACCCTCCTCCAAAGACAGCAATCATGGGCATTTTCATTTCAATGTGCACTTCTTGTTATGGTTAGTATTTGTCGATTACAAAAGTCATATATTCTCATTATAAAAATACAGAAACATAAACGGAGAAAGTGAATCCTTTTCTCCAGAAATGAGCAGTGTGTGAAAATTCCTTTAGAATATATTTGCCTACCCTGACCATAATTTTTAAACTAAAATGGAATAACCACATATTGTTTAGTCATCTTCATTTTCTTGTTTCTTTTTTAACTTTAGGCACATCTTGGACATTATTCCAAATACAGTCATCCTTTTTGAACGGCTGCAAAGAATCACATCATATGGATGATCTGTAACAGGGGTCCCCAACCCCTGGGCAAGGACTAGCACTAGTCTGTGGCCTGTTAGGAATGGGGCCACACAGCAGGAGGTGAGTGGTGGCCGCGAGCGACCATAACGATCTGAGCTTCGCCTCCTGTCAGATCAGCAGTGGCGTTAGAATCTCATAGGAGAATGAACCCTATTGTGAACTGCACATGCGAGGGATCTAGGTTGCACACTACTTATGAGACTTCAACGAATGCCTGGTGATCTGAGGTGGAGCAGCCTCTTCCCAAAACCATCCCCCACACCCACCCCTTCCCAGTCCGTGGAAAAACGGTCTTCCATGAAACTAGTCCCTGGTGCGAAAAAGGTTGGGGACAGCTGATCTAGAGTATATTGTTCCCACCCATGGGTTGATATTTAAGTGGCTGCCAACATTTTGCTATTACAAATAGCTCTGCAGCAAGAAACAGCATTATACACATATGGTATGACACTTGAGGAACTGTAAAATTGAAAGTTCTTTGGGAGGCTGAGACGGGCGGATCACGAGGTCAGGAGATCGAGACCATCCTGGCTAACACAGTGAAACCCCGTCTCTACTAAAAAATACAAAAAACTAGCCGGGCGAGGTGGCGGGCGCCTGTAGTCCCAGCTACTCGGGAGGCTGAGGCAGGAGAATGGCGTGAACCCGGGAGGTGGAGCTTGCAGTGAGCCGAGATCTGGCCACTGCACTCCAGCCTAGGTGACAGAGCAAGACTCTGTCTCAAAAAGAAAAAGAAAAAAAAAAAAAAAGTTGAAGTTACAATTGCAAAAATAGAATCTGGGCCAAATAATAGCCATAATATCAGTCAAGGGCCCACTGGATCCAGGCATGGTTTAATGCGCTTCCTGTTTACCAATTAATTTGATCCTTACAGCGATCTATGAATCAGGCACTGCCAGTCCCATTTCCAGGTGTGAAAACGGAGGCAGGGAGAGGTTAAGTAATTGAAATCACATGGCTGGTAAGAAGTATGTTTCGCCTTCTGACCCATATTCCAACACCGTCTTCCAGAAAGAGTGTATCCAGGCGTGCTGTTGCCAACTCGGCCTTCCTCCACTACAGGAGAAGCAGAATGCAGAGGCCTGCAGCTTACAATGACCGACCGAGCACTTCGCATACATTCTGCCACTGCAATCCTTACAACCACCCCATTAAGCAGGAGCCCTCCTTACCCCCTTTTACTGATGGGGAAACCAAGGCACAGAGCTTAAATGTTCACTTGTGATCTGCCTGCTGGTGTAAGCAGATTTGGAATCATGATCTGTTGAATTAAACAATTCACGTGAAAGTGGTTTAAGAAGTTTATGGGCACCCAAGACTACTGGTCCACTAGGTGACCCCTCTCCCCCAGGCATTCCCTTTGTACATCATTGGTGGATTTGGTGTCATTTGTGGTTGGCAGTGACTGCCCTTGGAGACCTATGGGGGTGGCTGGGATGATTTCAGCACAGATGTCAAAGCTGAGCTGGCTTCCATCTGTGAGAGGGCAAAACTGTCGTCCAGGTGGGGCTTTGATACCTGTTAATGGGAAGGGAGGGAGGGCAGAGATTCCCCCAAAGGTGAGGAAGGGAGATGGGAGGGGTCCTTGCTCTGAGATAGCCTCCAGGTGAGTACCTCCTGGGGCAGCCACCTGTGTGCCTCTCCCCGTCCGCTGTCCCCTCCCCTGCACACTGGTCTGGGTTCCTCAGTTTCACTTTGTGGCCTCTCAACATCCAGCCACAGGTGCAGCCTGGGCCACCCACAGCTTAGTGCCAATTGCTTTACTCAGCTAATTAGATCAGCACCTCAGCCTTCTCGGGTGCCTCTGGATGTCCAGATGTGGGCCTGAGGCTGGAAGGAAAGAAGGACAGTCTCCTTCCCTCAGGGCTTATCAGGAAGGAGACAGACTTCTTTCTAAGGAGACACAGCATAGGCTTGCGTAGAATTGGGGGTGCACAACTGATAATGTGGACAAAGCTGTCTCCGGGAGGGACCTCCAAGGAAAGAAGGGGAGGGGGCGGCTTCCTGGCCACTGAGGAAGGACAATGGGGTGGAGTCAGTTCCCAAGGGGTAGTCTAGACTGCTCAGATTCCGCCCTCCCGTCCCCACCCCGCAAACACACACACCAGGGGCCCACAGAGCCCTGGGGTGCTGCCTTTCCTGCTTGGAGAGGGCTACCCCAGCTGGGATGTGACCCCAACCCCTGTTCATGAGTCTGGTCCTGGGACCCTGGCTGTTCTGTGGAGTATTTTGTGTGTTTGTGGATCCTTTGCTCACCCCTCCACTCTCTTAGAGTGAAGACAGCCACCTCTGGGGTGGAGAGAGGGCCCTGAGAACCTGCCCTGGTCCCCCTGGCTATAACATGGTGTGGTTGCCACGGTCTGGCAGCCCCTTTTGTCTCCTGCTTCCCCTAGGACCCCCTAATACCACCCTCCTCAGCTGCACAATGGACACGGGATTTCTGCTCTGAACCTCTGCACAGGCTGCTCTGTCTGTCCCAGAACGCCTTTCCCCGCTTCTGGGGTAGGGTAGGGTTATCGTCCTGGAGAACCTTACCCATCCTTCAGATCTGCAGACATTTTCCCCGCCTCCCCCACTCGTTCTGGGTGGAGTGCAGCTGCTAGCCATGGGTACCTTAGCTGAGTTTTAAAAAGATGTCCTAGTACCATGATTATGCAAGATGCTAACATTAGGGGAAGGCAGGTGAAGGGCAGATAGGAACTCTGCTGGTTTTGCAACCTTGCTGCAAGCCTAACATTATTTTCAAAACAAAAATTAGTAAGCAAAGATGTCCATTCCTCCCGACAGTCTTAGTGGGCTTGATCTCAGCTCCCACTTTTCACATGCGCAGGGCAGCCTGTGTGATCAGACCTATTGGTCCTGTGGGTTAAGGTCTCCCCTTTGTGTGTCCCCCATTAACATGAAGTGTGGCCGGATGGGGTGGCGCCCCAAGATACACACAGGCGCACTCACTGATGCCCCTGGTCTTAGCTTCCCTAAGCTTCAGCACAGGCTGTTTGACTCCTAACCTGCTGTTTGAAATCACTTTGCTAAATGTCTTTGCATTAGAGCAAGTTTCCCTGAAGCAGACCCAGAATCACTGATTCACATGCTGGTGGTTTATTGGGGATACATGTCCAGGAGAAACCACTATTGGAGTCAGGAAAGCAGAACCGAGAAGGGAATAAGTCAAGGAAATCTGTGATTTTAGGCACAATCCCAGCCTCACCTGATCCCAGGGAGTTCGGGGCTGTGAATGACACCCAGAGCTTGGCCTTCCTGGAGGCAGGACTGGGCTTTCAGTCCCTGGCTAAGGGCTTTGGGAAGGTAGGGACCAGGTGTGTCCCGCTGCGTGCACCTGCAGGGGGAGCATCTGTGACACAGAGCACCAGGCGCCGGCTGTGGAAGTTGGAAGGAGAGCACAAAAACAGAAAGGGGGACCCGAGGAGACCTGGGCAGGTCCAGGTGCATGGAGTCAGGAGAACAGACACTTGGGAAAGGAAGGTGGATGCAAAATGGGGAGAGGAGGGAGAAGCTGGAACCGACAGCACGAGCTGGTGCCCCGAGGACAGACAGAGCCCCGCATCCATTCTTGTTGCCTCTCACCATGGTGAGGAGCTGCCCTGGGCCATGCAGTGTACAGGGGAGAGCAACTGTGTGTGCGCGTGCCGCAGGGGGCCGAGGTGGTTTCGCCCTTCAGGTCTCACTTGAGGGTCTCTCTCCTGGTCTCCTTCTCAACGGGTTGCCTTGTGTCCCCTAAAAGAGGTGTTGAGATGCTAAACCCCAGGGTCTCAGAATGTGACGTTATTTGGAATTAGAGTCATTGCACGTGTAATTAATTGAGGTAATGAGATCATTTAGAATAGGGTGGGCTCCTGATCCAGTAGCACTGTCCTTATAAGGAGAGGGAAACGTGGACACAGACCTGGAGAGGGAAGACGATGGGAAGACACACAGGCAGAAGATGACCAGGTGGAGATAGAGGCAGAGATTGGGGTGATGCAGCCACAGCCAAGGACCCCTGGGGCTACCAGAAGCTGGAAGGGGCCAGGAAGGCTCCTCCCCCAGAGGTTTGGAGGGAGTTCTGCCCTGCTGACATCTTGATTTGGGCCTCTAGGCTTCTGGAACTGTGAGAGAACACATTTCCGTGGTTTTCAGTCATCCAAGGTTCAGAACTTTGTGACAGCAGCCTCTGGAAACAGCCTCGCAGCAGAAACCCACATGGAAGACAGTTCTGGAGAAGTGTGGCTCAGCCAGGCCCCGCAGGAGATCAGAGCCACCCCAGCCTCGGGATGAATGTCTCCTCCTCACGGAGTTTTGCCAAGCCCCCTCCCATGCCAGTCCTCTCCCTGGCTCCTTCCTGGTGCCAACCATAGTGACTATTGCATTGGGGCCCTGGACAGTCTTGCCAGGCTCCCTCAGGAGCCTGTCACTCCCTGAGGACAAGGTACCATCTGTTTCCTTCTTTTGGTTGCCTGAGGGTTCAGCAAAGGGCCAGATTCCTTGTAGGGCCTTTTGTAACTGATGGAGAGGGTGGCGAGTTGCAAGGAGAGAGAAGCGCCCATTCCCAGGGTGGCATTGCAGCTGCAGGGGCCTGGTGGGTGGGAGTGGGGCCTCCCTGATCTACTGCACTCTGTTGCCCAGGCTGGAGGGCAGTCAGCTGGTCAGCTGATGAACTCGGCTCAGAGAAAACCCAGCTTTTCTTTCCCAGTCCTGTGGGACAGACAGCTCCAAACCCTGGCCCACCAGCTTTCTCCGAGTGTTAATTTATCAGGACAATAATAATCCTCCTATGATTTAGGGTTTGGAGGGATTACCAGACTGTGGTGGTGGAGCTGATAGGCGTTTATTACCTACTTAACCATTTAAGTAGAACAAAAAAGAAAATCCTTGTTGCACAAAAGGTGATGAATGTTTTTGTTAAAACACTCTATTAAAATGATTCATTAACATGACAAAGAATCGCCCGGTCTCCAGGCACCCTTGAGGAGGTTGGAACATCTGACCAGACAAATGTTTTTGGGGAACTGCAAGAATTCAGGATTTGCTTCTACTCTGCATGCGGTGGGGGGTGGGGGGCACCCCCCACCCCATGCCGAGGATGCCCTGCTGCTTTGCGGGATGTGGGTTTTTTTTTTTTTTTTTTTTAAGAACCCAGATCTTTGTTCTCCTATGACAGCGCTGCTGCAAACCATATTGCTAAGGGAGCAGCTATGAAAGAGTCCCCACGGGTTTCCCAAAGTTGGCTACGTATTAGGTCATTTGCTCTTCTGTCCCTTTCAAACAGCAAAGGTGTCAGCTCGGCACATCACCCCTGTGCCGTCCGATGATAGTGTTAGATCACTCAGTGGCTGACGCACAGTAGGTGGGTTCTAAAGTTTTAATGAATATAAGATGGCAGGAAGTGGCTACCCTGGAGCAATGGACAGCTGGGTTGGGAGGTGTGGAGGGGTGCTTTGGACTGGTCTCGGTTTACATCCTCACTGCTCCACCCTCGCTGTGTGACCTTGCAGAAGTGACTTCTCTCCAAGCTTCAGTTTCCAGTCTGTAAAACGGAGCTGACACGCAGACTTCGTTCCTAGGGCTGTCACAGGGGTTAAATGAGAGCACAGTGGCGATGTTCTTGGGCCAGTTCCTGGAAGGAACGTAGCACATTGCCCGGCACAGAGCAAACGCTGAGGAAAGTCACTTGGGGCTGTCTTCAGGCTGCATCACAAAATTCCTCCTTCAGCAAAGACACCATCTGGCAAGCGCCCTGCAGTCTCCGCCATCCTCTGTAGTTCTGCCAGCGTATTACTGTTTTGTTTAGTTTTAAAAATATAGATGACATTTATCGAGTACTCACTGTTATTTCTCCCTTAATTCTCTCCACAGACCCACGTGGTAGGCGCTGCCATGAGCCCTATTTTCCAGATGAGGAAAATTGAGGCTTAGCAATAGTTAAGCGAGCCGTCCCAGATCACAGATCACATGGCCAGTAAGTGACGTGTGCCCAATTTGAACCCTAATCTGTCTGAATCTTTGCCTTTGGTATTTACAAAAGTGTCTTGCCAGTTGGGAGAGGCAGGAAATGGGCGAGTGTTTCTTCAGGAATCACGAACCAGAATCTTCTGTGCCCTTTATCTCATCGAAGCGCCACGGCAGCACTTCAAAGTAGATGTTTTATTTGTTTTGATTTATGGCTGCTTGCTCATGAGTGTTATTCCTTTGGTGAGGAAGGAGAGGTCTTGGGGGAGGCAGGCAGGCTTTGGAGGCAAAATGCATTTGGGTTCAGCTTCACGATGGAGCTGTGTGACCCAGGGGACGCT